ACAATGCTCAAAGTACAAGAAATTCAGTACTGGTACTAACCATAAGCCCCTTTACATTTACCTTTTTGGGTAACTAAATTAGAAAAAAGGCATTCCAAGGCTGATATTCTAAAGAAAAATAACAAACAAAGAAACCAAAATAGGATGGTACCTGGGACAAACCTTGGTCGCTGCAGTGATGCCCCGTAGATATAGGGACGATAGTTGGAGGCATTGTAATAGTAATTCACAATCAGACTTCTCAGGAACTTGTAATACAGCGGTGAGACCTCCAAGTCATCTTCCACAACAAAAGCGAACTCATTGTCAGTACTAGGCCACCAGGCCTCCAACCATTGGGCCTGAAGGCCAACATTTGCAGTCCGGTAATGGACGAGTTTGTTCCCAAATTTCCACTCAAACCCATCTACAAACTCCAAAATGTGATGCGACTCCTGCAACTTTTGATCAATGTTTGAAGGGGGATCCCCGAGGGCAAAATGGTCTACGTAGACATGGAGATGGACCTCGTCAGTGAGGTAGTTAGCGGCAGCAAGGGAACGTAGGCAGCGAGCTACCGAGTCAAGCCGATTGAAAGCAAGGACCTTGATGATGAAGGTGAAATTGGGGTTAGAGTGAGAATTTTGGGGAAGGAGAGTGAATTTAGGGTTAGGGCTTTGGGGGGAGTGGGGAAGAGAGGAGTGGTAGTAGGAGAAGAAGAAGAGGACGGAGAGAGAAAAGAGGAGGAGTGGGAGGAAGTGTCTCCTTGGTCCCACCATTTCGGTAGGGCTAGGTTTGGGATTTGAAAGTAGAGAAGGTCATTGTGTTTACGGTGAAGATGTTCAAATAGCTTTGAGGATGAATAGATTCAATTAACTAAGGTGTTCATATCTTATCTCCCATCTTTGTTGTCACCTGCACATAAAGTTCACATCTTAACTGAGTAATAATACTAAGATTGGTTTGGTCTAATAAGGGGTTAAGAAGATTGATTAGTTAAATAACACTAGTTTGAGTTTGATTTACAATAAAATTGAACTATCTAATAAATGTTTTCACATTAAAAATAGAAATTGTATAAAATATACAATTCTTATATCATCATGGCATAAAACAGTAAATTAAAAAACATATATTCTACATGAAATATTTCCCGTCTTTCTTTTTGTTGGATTGAAATATTTAACTATCAAAATATTAACAGTGATGTTCATCACGAATCTTTTCATATCGACCAAGTTTATAAAGTGCTATCCATTATAACAATCGAAATGTCAATTTCTTCTCAGTATAATTTTCCCTAGAATCACGTCAAATTCCAGAAACAAAAAAACATACAAAATATATAACATGGTCAAAATTCATGAGTTAACAAACAAATGTGAATACAGAGTTGTTCGCTCAAAACCTATAGAAACACAAACTGAAATTCTATTACGCATATGTCCAATATTGGATGCAGATGTAGTTTTGTTGTTTAACCTCTGATCTGGTATACATATCATATTGACAACTAAATGATACTTAAAAATAAAACTCTTATCAATCTCCATATCTAAAACCAATATAATCAAGAAACGAAAATCTTAATGCAAATTCAACCAAGTAAATGTGATAACCAATATCTTCAATGCAACAAACACTAGATTCCGTATACATGTTAGTAAAATGCATTTCAGCCCTTAGTCTCCATTTCCTGGTTTAAAGTTTTATAGCATATTGGCACAAGTTGGTGAAAGGCAGCTACATCATCGAGCTTCCAAAAACGTAGCAGTTTAAAATTCTGTGACGTAAACGTGGCTGAGAGCATTAAAATGCATGAGAAACATGTGACCAGAGAGTTGCAATAAGGTCTTGAATAATAGATCAAGACAACATATTAAAGCAAGAATTTTTTAGTATAAAGGGATAAAAAAACATATAAACCAGGAAACTATATCCCGGGATAAGATAGATTTAGTTCCGTCACCTAAATTTCATTCTTTAATATATGCTTTCCCTGAACATAGGATCGAAAAGCACCATCTAAACAAAACATTACACAGAACTAGAGAACCAAATGCAACATCAAATGCACATTGGTTTCTACACACCAAGGAAAATTTACAAACCAAACCAATTTGCCAACAAGGGAGTAGTCCTCAAATCATGGCATGGATTCTCTTTGTTCTAGAAGAACTTGTACATAATGTAATTACATCGTCGTCACAGCCAGTTAAGCATCCGATAGACACCAAACCCAGTTAAGCATCCGATAGACACCAAACCCAGTTAAGCATTATACACACCGACACCATCTAGATAAAACATTGCAGAACTGCAGAACAAACAATAAATGAACCTTGTTTTCCACACTTCAAAGAAAGTTAAAGAAAGTGTACAACTTGAATCGATTGTCGGACAAGTGGGTTCTCTTTGTTCTAAAAGAACTTGTGCAGAACGCAGTGCAATCACCATTGTCGTCCCTAACAGTTAAGCATCAGAAAAACACCCAGGTCCCAACCCAGTAAAGAATTAGATTTCTATTTGGTAAAATTAAGCTTTAATCTTCAGATACTAATTTAATCAGCTACAAAGATCAATTTTCACAATCATATTAATGATTTAAAACAAATAAATAAATAAATAACCCATAAAAAGAAAGAAAAAAAAAAAAGAAACTTACTTGCCTGTTGCTGAGATGCGAGAGTGATCCGGGGAAACCTGCGAGATCTGTGAGAAAGAGGGTGTGAGATCCAGAGGGCAACGAAAATCAGAGACGGAGCCGGGAGACGCTCGTCTATGGCGTAAAATGGTCGGAGATGCAAGTGAAGCCGAAGGTGGAAAAACTCGGCCCTTGTATCTATCGGTGGTGCTTTTGTTTGGGCTCTTTTTGGTTTCAGTGACAATTGCGGTGGATTGGAAAACAATCCCAGTCCAAGTTCAGCGTCACCGCCAAATACAAAATTGGGCAGGTCTATCTCAACCCACGTCTGGGTACCTTTATCAGCCCAACAATTCTAGAGTACAAATAAATGAGCTCGTTTAAAAGTATTTTTAAAATAATTGAAAATACGTTTGATGAAATTAATACGGTTTAGTAATATTTCTTTTCACTTATAAGTCGGATGCTTTAGGTTCAATTCTCTCCAAAGGTGAATTTGAACCACATTATTGCTAGCCCATTTTGAGGCTAAGCATACCCCCTCTCCTTTAGTGTTAATGATATTATTTGTTCAAACAAAAAAAAAAGCAATTAAAGTCCTTTTTGGAGGAAGCCTCAGGTATGTACTTTTTGCAAGAAGTACTAAAAGTGTTTTTTCAAGATCTTTTGGGATTTTTACTTAGGATTAGTTTCATAAACATTTTCACCAAAAACGCTTTCAATCATTTTAAAATAACTTTCAAATGAGCCCCAACACAATATATATGCACTCAAGCGTAATCAAATTAGTAACTTAACACAATATTAATCACTTGTTTGCTGGATCCGCTCTACAAAGTAATTTCTTGATTCAATTATTCATCTATAGGTCATCATTTATAGATCATTCTTATAAAAAAAAATACTCAAAATCAAATATCGTTTAGAATATTTTGCAATTTTATCAATAACACTGTATTCGTCTATTATGTGGGCATGTGTGTTTTTTATTTGTACTCACAACTATGGTCCATGTGTTTTTAATTCAACTATATCTATTCTATCAAGAGAAGAGTCATTGTCAACTTTTTTCCTTTACTATTTCCAATTTCCCTTTATTTTTTGAGTAATATTATTCATACCATGTTTTATACCACATTTCTATACCACCTTAGGTGGCATTTGATGTGGATAACCACATCATTTGAAAAATTTGCAAAACCCAAGGAAAGGAATGAGAAAGACTCTTCGTATACCACAATCATCATTTAATTAACTAATTTTTCTTTATTATTAGTTTATTAAATAATGAACTAAATTTAAAAATCTGATTAATTCAAATGATGTGATTGTCCACATCAAATATCACCTATGATGATATGAAAATATGGTACAAAAATATGATATGAATAACATTACTCTTATATTTTTATTTTTTATTAAAAAGTGTATGTTCTATGCTAGTACTCGTTTAACAAACCTGGAAATGAGTGCTACAATAGTGAAGTAAAAAGTGATTGAACAAAAGAAAATCCTTTTCAGTGAATAGGATTGCATTTCTACAGTAGATTTGTTGTATCTATTTTTTTATGATACAATCGGATTGCATTTCTCTTAAATACTTTATTTAAACCAGCATAAGGGATGTGAGCACAAAGATGTCACTAAAAGCTATGCTTGACATGAGCAAGTTAAACCAGCATAAAGGACGTGAGGACAAAGATGTCACTAAAAGCTAAGCTTGACATGAGCAAGTTAAGTACTACTGTAGAGTTTCACAAAAGAAAATACTAATGTAAAGAAGCATTTCAAGCAATCATGTGTGCACTTTCATGTTTCTCAATGTACTTACAAGTCATACTAACCGACTGTTAGTCTAACGATATTCCTCTTTATTCTAAAAATATTTCTGTTTATTTCGTTGAAATAGATCTTAAATTTGAATCCTATTAGATAGCTAACATAGATATTTAAAAAGTACAAATATTAGTTTTCATCCTAAGGGGAGTTTGAACTTAGGAAAGGATGTCGGAAATGTGATGGAAGTAGTCGAACTGTTATTGTGAATATAAGTTCAAAACAAGACGAAGCATTTATGTGATGAAACATAAGAGGAGAAGAAGAAGAAGAGAAAGGGAAGCCTCTATAAAAATTATGCAACTCCATACTTGAAGCTAATGCCTTTTTGATTTCCAAAAGCTTGTCCAGCAAGTACCAATACAAGTAAAGCAACATTAAAATAATTACAAATCTCCACCAAATTAAAATTGTAGGCTGTTATTTGAAAAGAAAAATAAAAAGCATGGTAAATAAGTAGGTACCCTTGGATCGCATTATTTCACAACCCAAATTCACCACTTGTTTGTTACACTAGAATAATCAAAATCTGCTCTGAAATTCAATAAAAGGGAACGACCAAGTTGGTGAGCAGACTAGGTTTGCCTGTTGAACAAGCTGAAGCTGTGTTGAAATTACCATGGATATCATCCAAGTTCCACAAACCATCCCACAGATAATTGTCCTCATTAGTGGAGGCGGGTTCAGGCATATAGACATTGCCATGCAACATGGAGCAGAAGAATCCTTGCTCCTGATCAGCTGTATTGGGGTATACAGTGGTAGTAGTAGAGGTCTCCGAATCCGGCTTCACTTGAGACCAGCAGGATGGTATTTTATTGTTGTCATTTTCATCCAGTAAGGCCATGATTTTCTTGACATCTGCTTGATTAATCTGTCGCAACTGTTGCTGCTGCTGCTGTTGCTGCTGCTGGTGAAACTGTTGCCTCCTTAAAAGGCGATTTTTCGCTTTCTCGGAGGCATCAGAAGGCGCTTTCACTGCCTTTTTCTTGAAATGGGTCCTCCAGTAGTTCTTGATTTCGTTGTCAGTCCTTCCAGGCAAACTCCTTGCAATTGTTGACCATCTGAGTTTGTTTCAAATGACCAAATTAAGCCTTCATATAACAATAGAAAAAGGTAGCTAAAAATATAAATAATAAGTAAAACAAATATTTACCTATTTCCCCATCTTGCATGAAGGTCTACAATGATTCTCTCTTCATGTGGAGTAATTTGCCCCCTCTTAAGGTCTGGCCTCAAATAATTCACCCACCTCAATCTGCAGCTCTTTCCATTTCTCTTCAGTCCTATATAATTATACAACAACAACAACAAAAATGTTAATCCCATTTATTCAAGGGAAGTTTAACGAAAAGTTTCTGGTACTGTTCATTTTAACGAAAAACCATATTTTTATACTAAAAAATCAATCATAGTACTATTCACTTTATTTTGTCCTTATCGTTAAAACTCAAAGTTTTCAAGCCTTTTTCATTAGTTTTCCTTTTATTTAATGGATACACACACATATGTATGCACATAGGAGCACTCAAGACCTAACTGTAATCGGTTAGCAAGTTTAGTTGAGCTATAATATTTTTCGAAGGTCTAGTATATACAAAGAGTACTAGCTAGAATGGAGTTGCATACCTGCAAGCCTAGCGACAGAGTTCCATCTGCCTTCACCATGAACCCTCACATACTCAATAAGCAACCTATCTTCCTCAGCAGTCCAAGGCCCCTTTCTCCAACCCTCCTCTTCTATTAAACCCCAACCCATATGGTGACCTGCCATCATTCCCAAATACATGTGCGAAAGCTTAGCACAACTTTTGTGTTTTGCTTTAGGTAATAGGTATGCTTACCCAAAGATGTTGTCTTCCAAATGGTGTGGTATTTTTGGGAGTGGTTGTTTGCATATTTATACATCTGCAGCATAAGCCCTCACTTAGTAAAATCCCATCAGTCAATTTGCTGTCGTTTTCAAAATCTTCCCTTTGCTTTCCACTATTTGAAGTATGATCTGATCTCTCACAAATATCAGTTTAATTTATTTATCTTTCTTATCTTTTAGAGATTCGAGAATTAGTTAATTATAAATAAAAAAAATTGTTATTGAGCATTTAAAAAAATTCATTGTGCACTCTCAAATTTTTATATGTAAAAAAAAATACACTTATGAAGACTGTACAATAAGGTTTTTAAAATATCAATAATATAATCCTAAAAAATATCTGTTGGCGCCTACATGCTATATGATCGTTATCCACTTCAACTTTATAAAATACAAGTGAACATTTGTTTAGAGAGCAGGAATTGGATTACAATTTTGGAGTGTCAATCGAAAATCGCTCTGCCATGCTTTTTCCATATGTAATTGGTCTATGATGGTTTCATGACTTAAGTTTGATCTCCTTATGGTGTGCACCCTTTTTTATTTTTTATTTTTTTATTTTTTTGGAACCTTATGGTGTGCACCTTTGGTGCGTGTTCTCATTCACCTAATGAAACAACAATCAAGTGAATTTTGATTAATCTAGCATTTTCGCTCACTACTATAACTATAATATATGTTCATCATACATTTCATCATCTAACACATGTCATTTTAACTAACTTTGTTTAACTTTTATATTAAATGTTTCTTTTTTAATTTTGAAAAAAAAATTATGGTTAAGTGAAAAGACACGTGTCAGATGATGATGTGTATTATGAATACACACCATAGTTTATAGTGGTGAGAAAAAATACACCAATTTCATAAGAGAATTGTTATTAGCACTCCAAAAATCTCATTTTACATTCCAAACTTTCTATATTAAAAAAGAAAAATACACTTATGAAGAATGTAGAATGAGATTTTTGAAGTGCCAACAACACTTCCCTTTCAGAAAACATTGAGAAAAATAAACCTATCAATTTAATGGTTAGAAATGCGTTCGCATTGTAGAAAATCCATCTTTATGGTCTAAGTGTCGTCATTATTGATTTATGATTTAACATCATGGATCAACCCCAAATATTAGACCAATCAAGTGGCTAATATGCTTCAATCAAGAAGATCAAAATTTTTGATTTATACAAGGGTTTTTTTTATTTTTTGAACAAACAATATTATTTACATTAAGAGAGAGGAAATGTGTTTAACCTCACAATGGACTAACAATAATGTGGTTCAAATTCGCCTTTGACGAAAACTAAACCTAAAACCTCTCACTTACAAATGAAAAGAAATATTACTAGATCATAGTACTAAGTGACTATGTTAGGGCATTTTAGGAAGCTAAAAATATGCCATTGCATTGGGTGACACATTCTAGTAGGATTCAAAACGTTAAGTTCTTGGATGCTAAAGTGCGACAAAAGAGAAATAGGAATTCCATGGATTGAGGCCACGTACATAGTGATTATGCATTTGGACAACAAGAATTAGTAGCTCCATTAGCATACTAAGCATAGCCTGATATATTTTAAATTAAAATTAAGTGGGTGGTGGCATTGTTTAAGTTGAAAATTACTAGAGGACCAATGTGGTTCGACCAGGTGTTGGATTTGCTTACTTCTCAAGGAGATTGTTCCAAGTAATCACTCTAAAGGATGAATTAAATATTAATTTGATGATGCCATATTGGGTATTGGGGGATTATAATTCTCGAGGTATTGATGGTCTTGGAACGTCACCTAGGGGACACGTGGTACTTTTTATTATTTTCTACTATATTTTTGGAATGATAGTGCTTTATGGACCACACGCAGCATGGGTTTTTTATGTTGTAAAATTGTAAAATTGCTTCGCGGGTGAAGGCGATGTTATGAAAATAAGTGATCTATACACATGAAAGATGATGGATTATGAGACAAATAAATATTAACTTTGGGCAAGTTTATTTATTTATTCTTCGATGTGAACTCATAGCGATGAGGAGAGAATTGGAAACTCGGAGCTCAGATTTAAGAGTGAATGCATGATTCAAGTTTCTTGTATTTTGAGGAAGTTTGTTGGGTAAACACATTCGTCTTGACATGCATGCAGATATAAAATATTTTGTGTTGACATTAATATATGGTGTTCTAAAGTCAGTCATATTATATACTCATTGTTCTAAAAATTTTTACCTAGCATCACTTAGGCAAGGCCGGTCCTGAGAATTAGGAGGCCCTAGGCGAGCTTTCGAAATGGGGTCTCTGACTCTCGACCCTTTTGTACATTGACACGTGTAAACAAAAATCACTAAATACATGAAAAGTCTATTTCTAATCAAATATAATTAAAAATTAATATAAAAAAAAAAGATATACAAACATTACTCAAATATTACCCATCTTGCGTTTTTAGATGCAAATGCACTTATTAAGTTTATATAATCTAATTTTTCAATCAATTCAAACCAAAACAGAAGTCCCTATCCAATACGCCAAATTCCAATCATTTTCTATTGTTACAACATCTTATAGCTAGGGAAAATACATTCAATAAATGAAGTCCCTACCTAGTACTTATTACATTCAATAAATGAATGAATGGTTGGATTACAGAGACAACATCTTACAGCTAGGGAAAATACTAGAGTGAAGAGGATTGTAATTTTCGTATACACACCTAGGCGAACGATGCGGATTTGAATAATTTATCATATATTATATAAACTAATTAATTTGAAATTTTTCAAAAATGTGAGAGTTTTAGCCTTTTAGGTACATAATAAAAATTTATATGGTGTGATCTTAAAATAGGGTAATAAAACCCCATAAAAATAAACATAAAGGTGATACTTAAGAGAGAAGCAAAAAAGTAAAAATAAGATGGTGGGGACTATTTGAAAAGGAGAAGACGTGCAGCTATAAAAAAAAAGATGGTGGGATCATCTTAAGTAAAATCATGCAATTAAAATAATGTTGGGAATAGGGTTGTCTTCTTCCTCGCGCGAGGCCGACCCTACAACAAAAGATTTTCAGATTCCGGCATTTACATATAAACCTGCATAGCTCCCCCCCCCCCCCCCAAATCCTCATACAGACCTGCCTAGCTCTGCCTAAAAATTGGGGCCCCTTCTAAAGTGGGTGACCTAGGCGGGCACCTACTCCGGCTACCCTCAGGGCCCGCTCTGTGCTTAGGCCCCGTCTAGGCACTAGGCGGCTGGCCATCGTCCCGATTAATCTTTAGGCATTTCAAAATTAAGAAAGGGTGTCTAGACCTACTTAGGCACCCGCCTAACCCGCCCAAACCCACCTAGACGCCCGCCAAGGTTGAGACTCTCATTTAGACCGAAAATACAAAACTTTCATTTTGCATTTTATTTTTTCCATTATATTGTAAGAGACTTGTTGAATACTTAGATTAACACACATTATATCATTGTTCCTCATGTTTTCATTATATTCTAATACTTTATAATCTATATGTCATTTTATTTTGCAACTTATGTATCCCAATAAAATTATGTGCTTTATAAGTATAATTAGGCACATATTTATATGATATATAACAAATTTACTTAAATCCGTTTAGATGCTAGGCCCAACCTGCCGCCTGACTAATGTCTAGTGTCTTTTAGAACCTTGTATATACTAGTAGACCTTGGTAAAGCTTGGTTACCATTAATGTGGATTAGTAATGCTCAAGATGAACACATTAAGACAAATATATTAGACGCAAGGGTCACGATGATTTGTTACTAGTTAGTTTCCTTGAAACTTACTGGGCAATGATATATTTAAACTTAGTGTTAAAATCTTTGAAGCTTTAGAAAAATCTTTTAAACTTAGTGGACACTAAAATATTTATAAGATTCGAAATCTACTTTTGAGTACGTTTGCATATGCACTTTCTCCACACACAAAATAATAAATAAAAAAATCCCTTAAAACTACTCCTAAAGAAATATATAATAGGAGTTTTCCAGAAGTTAAATAAGCACTCAAAAGTAATTTGTTATCGAAGTGTTTACAACCTGATAAAAGAGTAATGTTAGGTAAAATAAATTTTTTAAATCAAATTTACAAATTAAATGATGTGATCGTTGATGATTGAATTATTAATTAAATATCGATTAACGTGTTTGTTTCTTATTGATGACACATCATTTGATTTTTCAATTTGGTTTAAAAAATTTAATGTCCCTAACATTACTCCTCATAAAATCATTCTCAAGTACATCGTCCTTATTTTATTTTGCCATCATATGCTAGATCAAACCTCAGTTCTACCATGCATGGTGCATCTGTTTATTTATTTTTATTACATAATATTCGAAGGAACTTATATTTTACCCAGAAGCACTCCGGTCACCGGCCTTGTAGGCCAACTGACCAATTGCAACTGCTCATCCCCAACAGAATTGCTCCTTTAACCGTATAGAGTAACCCTGCGAGCTTCGGTTTAAAGTTTCACTCTCGACGTACGCAAAAGCTTCGGTACAAAGTACAAACACTAAAAGCCCTTTAGCCTGTATATGGTTTGGAAATTGGAATGGCTGTGAACGGTTGAGGATCTTTTTCGAATTCTTACAATCAATTCATCTTAGTCGTTCATTATACATCGTGTAATTAGTTTTTGTAAGTACTATTTGTATTCAATTTTAAATAAAAAGTTCAAAATAATTTCTAACCGTAGAATAACTGATGAATGACTAAAATGAACTGATTTCTAGGATCCTTGCAAAGAAGTTCCGGTTCCACTTTGAACCATCCATGCTTAACTTTAATTCCTAGATGTAATCTCCTTTACTTTATTTATTACTATTGATTACACAGCCACCAACCTTAAATATATGAAATGTTCATATGTTTCTTGGTCACTATATCACATCA